ACAAAAGGTTGGGATTTCAGGACTTAGTCTCATTTTATCACACTTTGGTGACCTAGACTCGATGAGAGACGATTTTAGGAGGAGATTTTCATACAAAGCTATTGGATAAGTTATTTTGACTCAATTTTCATTATATAACATGATTATTTATGCGATTTAACATCTAAATTATGAGAATTCAAAGAGAAATCTTGGAGAATTTTTTACTATATTTTGAAAAATAAAAATTTGAGATTTAAGAGTCGAATTGGACTCGGATTTGAAAACCAAACACATATATGGACTCCTGGGGTTATGGGCAGTCGAGATCTGCCTTTCGACTTGGGTTTTTACCAGGCAGGCCCGGGGTTGACTTTTGTTGACATTTGGAGAAATGTTTAAAGATTTTAACTTTACTAATTGAAATTCATTTCTCTTACATTGTTTGATGATATTAAGTCATTTTTTCTAGGTTTGAGCAGAGTGGAGGGGAACTTTAAGGGAAAGGCGCTTTTAGAGTATTGAATTGGCCAAATTCAGGCAAGATCTTGCCTAACTTTGTGTGGGAGAAATTTTCCTTGGGATTTGGTCTTGACAATTACTGGGTACTGACTGTGGTGTACTCGTAATACACTTCTATATATTTTTTTTGCAGATCCAGGTACTTCAAATCGAGCCAGTCGCTAGAGAGTTGAGTTAAATAATGTGAAGACTTCAAGGTATACATGTTGTTCCCGCTCGCAGGCCTTGGAGTGACCTACTAGTATTTTTCCTTAATACTGTTATTTGTATTCCAAAACAGTGTTGTATTCGAGATTTCTAGTGTATTCTCAGTAGATCTTATAACTCCATACTACCGGTTTTGGGATGTATGGTTGTTGATCATTTGTTGGCTATGTTATGTTATTAATCAATTTTTATTTAACTAGTATCTATAAACGTGCGTTGCACGTTAATGTAACGCACATTTATAATGACACATGATGGTTTAAATATTTATTTATGTGAAGGAACAATAAAATCTAATTAATCAGAGAAATTTTATATATAATACTACAACAATCGTCTAAATGCGAATAATATTGTTACAATAACATAATACGTGAATTCAAAATGAAAGGATATCATCAGAACTTACATAAATGATTAATTTTAGTCATGTTAGGTAGATAAATATGTAATGTAGTTCAAATGTATCTAATGTGATGGTATCTTAACAAACAGTTCTTAGTTTATGGACTATATGTTTCCTTCTAATGCTTTGTTTACTCTACCATAACCAGAACCCTAGTTGTCGATATTGATAAATCTCTTGAAAGTGCAACATATAGTTATTCATGTAAGAAAACATATTGTGGTAAATATAGTTCAATATTGAGGATGTTTTTCCTTGTACTTTATCTATTATAACTACAAAACATAAACATACTGAAAATTATTTTCACACAAATTTAAAAGGATATTCTTTAGTTTCGGATGACGAAAGTTGCATTCGGGGATAAACACATACTTAGAAGCACATTGACCAGTATCATAAGTTCTGCATGCATGACGTTATTGTCAAAACGTCTATATACCATATGCGTACTATTACATAAGCTATTCAGCGGATCTAAGTTTTCAGTAACATGACGGACATATTTTTCTTCAAAATTAACCTATATGCAATGGAAGATCAACTTTAACTTAGTTTATTATATATATGGTGACACTAACACACATAAGAAAATAATGAACTTGACAACAAACATGTACCGTAGAAGACTATTTTGTATTAAAGTATTTAAGTATTCTTCTTCGTAGTTATTGTTACTATCATCTTCTGCTGAGTCAACATTGAAAAATATTTTATTTTTACCATAAAACTTAGCTATCAACCTTTTATTTAGTTGATCAACATATTCATTTCTGCAAGCTAAGACAGCTCTTTAATTTCTATCATGTAATTTGCACAAATTGCGTTTTAATCTAATAATGAAAATGTTTTTCTTATTAAATGCACTACTATTACCATTGGAGTTGATAACCAAGTATTCTAGAATAACGAAATCATCTTTTATTGGATGCTCTTTTTCATTTCCGACATGAAGCAAGAAGTCACTGAATGCTGGATTTGTTCTTACTTTTATATTTCTTGTCACATGAATATTTTTCATTTGAGGTCATAAGTATAATTTTGGCAAGCTAGCTTTTACAGTTTTTGCTTTGGTCAATTTTGGAACTACTGATCATACTTGACAGGAATCACCTCCCAAACTATTACCTTTCCACCAAACGGTTCATCGATATCCAATATATCTCTAAAACTCTGGGCGATTATTTCGATCGTTTGACTCTTAGCCAAAAGCGCTTCATCCCATATTATCACTTTTGCTTTCCTTATATATTAGCACTATTGATATGATTTGATATATTTGTGATGGTTATTTCAGTTTTTTGAAGAGGTATATCAAATCTAAAGTTAGTTGTATGACCTCGTAATAAAATTATTGATGGTACACCTTTTGTTCTTATTACGAACAATATCATGCCTCTTTATCTGATATTTCCAAGTAATGCATGACATGGGAATATTATTCGATTCTGCCGGAGGAATCTACAAAGGATAATCCCGTTATACCAGAGTCGATTTTTTATAATATAGTCTTGAAAGTTTATTCTTGTTCAGGATTTAGCTTTGATTGTGCTTGCTAATTATATTTTTTTAAATTGACAAATAATTTTACTCAAATGATGAATTTAAAAATAATTTAATTGGATTCTCTTACTAAATAATTAATTGAAAGATTTAATTATTTGGTTTTAACATAAAATATAATATATTTTCTGTTAATTTAGATTCTTAATATTAGTTCATATCATGTTCGAATATTTTACCAATTTATAATTATATCCACCATAAATTTTATTTTCAGAGAGTAAAAAGATTGATGACGTTGCACTTTTAGATCTTTATGTTTGCAAAATCATTAGTGATATTGGTTCTTACCAACATTTTTCTTTCTTTTCTCACACATTTATATTCTTAAAAAATTTCTTAGTTGTTCTTTAATAATTGGGTATATTTTCTATATTACACGGATAATTAATAATAAAAAAATTAGTTGAGTAGGAAAGCAGTTCAAATATAATATAATAATATGTTATCGTGGGAATTTCTCTCTCTCAATTTCAACGCGTTATGCAGTCCGTTTAGCATTACTTTTATTCTTTTTGGTATTGAATATAGAATGGTAATGTATTACCAATATGGAGCATTCTTATGAAATTGATTTTATTAAACATTCCTACATATTTTTAATAGACAAGATTGTATTAATTTTAAAATCTTAAATATTAAGAAAATTAGCATATAAGTTATTATAGTCCAAAAAAATAAGTTATTACAACTATGTCCTTTACCTATGAGGTCTTCTATTTAATATTTTAGAGCTATTTTGATCTATCAATATTATATTCGTGCTTTTATAATAAATATATGCTCTCCTGTTTCTAAATGGATTTGAACAATATAATACGTTTTCAAAATAAATTAGCAATAGGAATTTTTTAATAAGTATTATCCTAAAAGTGATAGGATTATAAGGCTAATATCCATGCCCGAAAATAATTATATTAATAGGATTCCTAAAGGTAATCATGTAGGATTCCTAACGTATTATGTCCTAAAACTAATAGAATTGCAAGGCTAATATCTAGAATTCCTATTATGTCCTTTTATTATGAGTTATTATGCTTAATATTAAAAGGTTATTTTTGTAATCCAACATTTTATTCATGCTTTTATAATAATATAGATAGATAGTTGAGTTATTTTATTTTGTTAATTTCATCATGTGTTAGGCTTACCTAGTCTTATAGACTAGGTGCCATCACGATCTTCAAGGAGGGATTTTGGATCATGACAAATTGGTATCAGAGCTCTAGGTTCATAGGTTCTACGAGTCATAAGAGAGTTTATTAGAGTCCTGCCGATTGGTATAGAGACGTTTGTACTTATCTTCGAGAGGCTACTATTAGGAAATTCCACTTCTTTCATTTTTTAGCGTGCGAATTTATTGATTTTGGAATTTGAGCCTTTGTCTTTCTATTCTCTTCCTAATGGTGAGGACACGAGCTTCAATTTCTCAATGACGGTTCAAAGCCGGTAATGGCCGACTATCGACTGACGCGCATTAAATGCCTGAGAAACTGTACCGACGAGACATTTTGGTTACCTCTACTGCTTACGTGATGCTGCTTACGTCATGATGTATTGAGGTGAAGATCGAGGGCTCAAATCGTTTCTTGTCATTACTCTCCAAAAAACGAGGGGACTATCTGTATACGGTCAAAATCGGGCTTGCCCTTTTTGTATGATTAATCGAGAGCGGGGCGTGGCAGGCCAATGTTCGACCCCATGTCGTACCGGACCGTGACACGAAGTTAGATTGCCAAGCTCGTGAATCAGAGACCGATCGAGATCGAGATCAACCAAGATCGAGACCGATTGGGATAGAGATCGAGTAAGATCGAGGGAAGTCTGCCGAGCCAAATAACGGAAAGCCAAGATATGCACGATCGGGCGAGGATCACGACGGAAATCTCGGTACGTACCAAGAAGAGGCCGATTAATCAGCTAATCAGCGGATTTCTTACTGTATTTAGGATTGTATTAAGGGTAGGATGCCCTTACTATATAAAAGGGGCCTCATCATTTGTAAAGCACATGATATTCAAGATACACAAAGCAATATACTATCTTTCTCTTAAGCTTTCAATACTCTGTTATTTTGTTCATACTTTCCAGTGAAATACTAGTTTGATTCGAAGGCAACCTAGCTCGAGGATCAAAGCAATACATTTCCTTGGTTTGCTTTATTTCTATGTACAGTTAATTTCAATATCAACTTGTACTTTTTCTCAGTTTGTGCTAAGTAAAATCACATGTCTTTAAAACCACAATATAAATTCAATTGTTATCCGTTTTTAGGGTAAACAGATTTTCAGAAGCTTTTGCTCCATCATATATCGCACGAAACTTTGGATTGATAAGGACATTGGATTATTCTGTTACTGCTGCCATTAGCTAAATACCAGTAAATGAAAATAGAGCCGCTATACATCATTAAAACTGACATGAAAATTAACCTAGGATGACGATCAAACATACACATACAAAGAAAGATAGATGCATGTGGTCTGTTAACACCTACTACTACTACTACTCCCATTACCTATTTGCTACTCCCTCCATGTTTCTCTTCCTAACAATAAAACATTACTCTCTTCACGTTTTCCTTTAGCGCAGGCAATGGCCGAACACCACTCTCTCCACCTTCTCTTATAGCCTTGCCCCCTTTATGAGGACTGCCACCATTTTCTGCCATCTCCGGTTCCATGTAGAATCTAGCTCGAAATGCAGCTAAATGTGCATAATATGCTGGAGGAACTGCAAAAACACAGTTAAAACTTTGAAACATTAAAATGGAATTTTGATTAAGCAAATAAAGCAAGAGGATTATAACCCAAGGAGCAATAGGAATTTTGTTTTAGAGTTTTCACTTACCCACAGAGACAGAACGCGTGCACCTTGCATATGTATAGCAGAGATTGTTAGTCAAGGACTGGATTCCATCTGCTGTGAAATTGTTCTCATCCCACAGAACATGGTAATGAGCCGGTCGACTTGTACCCTGCCAACATGATGTAGTGCATCAATAACATATGTAATGGCTAATATTGTAAGGTGTTTGTGAGGAAGTTAGAAAATATAGTGAACATATAGTTAAAATCTGTAGCATCAGATAAATAAGCTTAAGAGAAGGATGTGAATTTCGATAAAGGATTCCTTCATAAATTGTTCCTTATGGGATCAGTTTCCCCTCTTGTCAAATTCGATCTGAAAACCTCTTCATTTATCTTAGATAAGGGAAAAGGTAGTTACTGTTATACCTGAATGCCGGCATGGCTACAAAGATAAAAGTCAAACTCTGTTGGATGACAGATTTTTGTATCAACCACAGTACCTGATGAAGCAAGAGATGGTACTCAGCATTCATAATACTTGACAATATTCGTAAAGTGTGTCTAAGATTATGGATAGTTTACCAGGCAATATGTTTCCACTCCTATCCGTGCTACTCCTGTCCTTGTGATTGTTAGCAAATAGACGGGTGTGATGCCGTTTCTGTACCACAATAAAAGTTACTGGTGGTTGGTAATTTGGCTCTAAAGATGCACAAGCCTGCACAAAAATACCTTCTGGTTAGGCAAAAATCATATATGGGAATAGGCGTTGCCAGGATTAGCACCAACCTTCCTAATTGCATCTAACTCAAAAAGAAGTACTTGATAAAATTGCCCTTCGCTCACTCCATCCCTGTACACAAGATACTCTAATAAGATAGGGAAAGTTAAGCAAATCAATAGAATCAATGAAAAAAGTCATCCATTTCAATGCATGTCTCGGAATTGCAGCAGATATAGCATGTGAAACTTCCAGTATATTTAATATTTAGAGTGAGGGACTTGCCGATAAAAGATTATTCTTTGTGGCTTTTGGCCAGTAGCCTTTCTGAAGGATACAAGGAGATCCCTGCAAAATCAGTGTAAACTCGTTTAACCATAAGGGAAGAAAACAAATACATTAGAAGTAAGACTAAGAGATAGAAAGGCATACCTTATCATGCCACCGCTAACTGTTCCACGTGCAGGATCATGCCATGTCTTGTACAAATCTTGTATGAGTTCCTGTCTATGAGCTTGAGCGCAAACAAGGCCAGCATATTTTGTCACCTCAGGCCAATCCTGAGAAGCTACTACCTGCAGCAGCCAGAATAGGAAATTGAGCTTCCTGTTACACCCAAGTATCGGGAAAGAGGAGATTAAGGAGCATGGCCTCAAATGAGGAACTTACTGCAGCAATTGAAGGGCTAGAGTCTTCTCCATTTTCTGGGTGAGTCACATCTGCTCCAAATATGATGGTAGGAATATCACTTACTAATGGTATTCTACAGCTAATAGCATCCAACAGGACAGTATTTCGACCACCCATCTGCTCCCACAACAGAAAGTATTCGTAAGAGTGCAAAAAACAAAAGATGCATCTTACAATTAGCAAAATCACAAAGGGAAAAGGAACCTCCAAGGCACCAAATATGGACATTTTGTGACTATCTCAATATCGCAGGTTATATTTTATGTGTTTTCAACAAGAATAGCAAGTGGATGCACCTTGACATTAATCTTCAAGGAGACATTTGCCAAATATTGTTTGCTGATCTTGAACACATGCTTTGTCAGACAGCATTGGGATATTAAACCAAGATCAGTCTCACATATCCGCTTTATGTCACCTACAAGATAAGGATGTAAGACATTCTGGAACAATGCAATTATCTCAATTCAACAAAATGAAAATTATTTTGCCATACCATACAGGGATCCGTTGTTATCTGGAAGAATGACCAATAGAAGCTCAAGTTCTTTGCCTTTTAGCTTGTTTACACATGCATGATAAACATGCTTCAAGGCTTTCTCTACTTGATCCGGCCTGGCCATGTATATTGGAATTACTGGTTCCGGATTGAACTCCTGTCAGCATAAGCTAAGGTCAATTGCCTTCGTGTATATAATTAAACATGGAGTGAAAGAGAAATGGACAAGGAACAAAGAGAAGGAGCTTGCGAAACAACTACCATTCCAGAGACTTCACACATCTGAGCCAGTTCGTTACAAAAGCCACGAGCAACACTCTCTTGGACACTTCGTGAAAAATTGATGCAAGCCCAACGGCTAACGGTCATTCCATTGATCATTTTCTGTGCACAGATCAAGCACAGCTTTTAGCAAAACAGAAAGCACAAAGAGACAATACATAGTAACTGAGAAACCACAGAGGAGCACATCGGTACCAGATAGGAAGAATAAGCGGGACAATAAATAAGTATAAAGTAATGAACAAAGAGTGAGATATTGGGTCTATTTTTTTTTTTCACCATGCAAGACGACAAAAAAAAAAGCATGACGTTAATGCATGAATGGTGCAGCACAGAAGTAGTAAGTAAACTGATGATTCGGTAGTTGTAACAACTAAAATAAAGAAATCAAGTAGCAGCTGAACTATGAAACAAGCAGAAAAAGGACCTTATTCATCATATTCCACTGCCCAACTTGAGGCAGACAATCTTTCTCCTTCCCAGTCTCGTGATATTTTAGCTGTTGAAGAAATGAGAGAAATAGATGTCAAAGGAAAAAGAATTCAGGTTTATTAAGAATGAAGAATGAAAGCTCATGTAGAGTGATTTACCCATGGAGCAGGCAGCACGCGAGCTTCCACCGATGCTTGCTTTTCACTGATTTTGATCCCAAACTCCTTTGCATATGGGTCTTCATTATAATCATTGTGTTGAACAGTCTATATTTTAAAAGACAATCAAGTACAACATGACAAGGGAATCATTCAAGTCCATGTAGGTGTGTTGCACAGATTAAAATTTCCAGCACAACAGAAAGGAAGCATGAAAGGTAAAAATATTACAACATACCTGCAAAATCGAGTTCTCACGATCTCTTGGTCTTTGGCACGTGACCTTCAACAGAGCAGTAATTTGCTTTTCACTCAACCTTTTAGTGTATCGTTGTCCCTCAACAATTTTACATGCCTAGAAACACGGCAACAGAGAATAGCTCACACTTCTGAAAAGAGACATGAAGCTATACAAAACATCAAGCAATATTCTCACCTCCATAGGTAAATAGTTGGCTTTCTTTTGGTTCCCTACTTGAAGGCATGGAAGATGTGTATACTTGATAGTAAAGCCATACATTTCTTGGAAGTATTCCACTACTGACTTCATCGTTGAATTATCATCAACAGGAAAACTGAGCAAAGCAACAATGAGCATTAGGTCAACCTAAGTTTTATCACTCTTGGAACGAATATATGATAATGTTAGAATGACAAATACAAAGGCAAAAGCTTACACTAGTTCTCTTGTGGGCTGGGATGTTAGTCCTGAAACTCGATACTTTCTCCGGACATTGCCCCTATGTGTCACTTCTACTTTCACTCCTCTAAGAGCCTTCTTGATCTAGATGGCATTTGCAGGCAAAATTAACAGTTAATTAAAAGTGACCAAACATTTCATGTAAAAGCAATGCAGAAAACTTAATAGCATTAACATGACAAGGGAATCATTCAAGTCAATATTGTAGGTGTTGCTACCTTTACACGATCAGAGTCAGATAAGGGTCTTGACGACACATCTTTTCCAAGAAGCTGGGCTACAAACTCTATCACTGGTAGTGCTTCAATAAATGCAGCTGAAGCCATATCTGTTGTTTGAGGTCCGAACATCAAACACAGTTAGGAATAACTAACTACATTAACAATAATTATATCATATCATAATTCTTTACTTGCTAGAAAAGTAAATTTTATCATATTTAATCTGAATATCTGTTAACAATAAATTACCAATATTAAGGGACAAGCCCATTTGGGTAGGTCTGATGCTCTGGTAGAATCCACACCATGCTTCTAAACCATCGCCAAGAGGCTGAGGTTTCCGGATATCAGGGGAAAAGAAAGATCTTCCAACAGGACAATACCTATTAAGAGATGTGTGTTATCAGAGATAAAATCAACTCAACAAAAATCATACACGAATGTCCAAAAACTGAAGAGCTTTTGCTCAAAGCTCCATCACAATGCCTCAAATTAGAATGTCTACCTCTTGATTGAAAGCTCTCTCAAAACAATATCCAGAATTTGAAGAGCTTCTTGTGGACCATCGGCACGCTTACCAGCTAGAAATTGGCTCAAATGATGTACATTCGCTCTTGCGACAAACTTAATCACCACTTTATATTCTCTTTGTCTCCTGAAAATTTTTTCAATTCACAAAAGAAAAATAAAAAGTTAATTTAGTATTGGAATGAAATAGGCCTAAATAGAGCTGAACCGATTCAGATATTCCATAGTGCCGACCTCAACTTGTTTGGAATTGAGACATAGTTGATTGATGAGCGAAAAAAGAAAACAAAACATATTTGTAATTAATTTGGTAGGATCTGCTAGTTTAAAAAAGTAAATGGGATTATGATGTCTTATTTTTGTACTATAAATATTATAACAAAGCATTTTATACATTTAGAGCTAGATAGTGATTAATTTTTAATGAACCCTCCAAAATGAATGAGGACAAAGCAATAAAGAGTCTTACTTTGGACCATTGATTACATCATCTTCATCAATAAGCTTAATGGTGAACTCCTTCCACTTAAAAGGAAGTTCACCAGCAGTGTAGAGAGATTTCCTGCCATCATAAGCTGGTAATCTCATCCCTAGATCTGATTCTTTGTACAGTTTCACCAGTTCTGCTAAGATTGCTCTGTTTACACTTCTTGATGACACTTCAGGGGTTACAGTAACCTGCAAAAAAGGTGGTTTAAAGGAGGCATATACATACAAAAAAAATACAAAGAGAATTATCACAAACAGTCTGACCAAAATTCAGAGTGTCATTAATGCTACTAAAAAACAAAAGAGATACATCCTACTACTCAACTAAGCAAAGTAAAAGCATGTGTAAGAAGGGGTAAAAAAAAAAGATAGAACTCCATAAACATAAACTTCAAAGGGATGTCAGATTAAGGGGCCCAAAGCAATACACAATATTTACTTTAGTGCTGAAAGATGCTCAAGGAAACCAGTTTCAAAACCATCAAAAATAAAATAGCAGCTTACATCATACTGGTTTAAGTCCTTGTCTGGTAATTCAGCCAAAAAATGGTTTGCTTTTACAATGCATTTTGTCCCCAGTTGGCCATAACCTGGTCTTGGGGCAAAACACAAAGACTTGCTTGAAGAAGGAAATCCTGAACCAGTAGCCACTAATTGACATGAGCTGCTGCTGACTGACACATTTAACACATTTTCTGCTGCTACTATAACTGGCTTGCTTGCTGCTGTGCAAGGCCTTGAACTTGGCCTCATAAAGGCCTCACCTTGATCTGACTTTCTCCCTCCTCTTCCCCTTCTTCTTCCTCTGTTTCTTGATGGGGGTGATGATGTTGTGTTATGGATTTTGTTGTTTTGGGGTTCTGTGATTGGTGGCCCTTTCCCATTTTGAGCAGTCTTGGGGTTTTTCTGAAGTGGGTTCATGGTGTTTTGCAACTGGGGTTTGATCACAATGTGTTGTTCTGAGCCTTCTTTCATCTGCCTTATAGGCATGTTTTCACTGGTAATGTGATAAGCACAAGAAAACTGTTGAAAAGTAATTATCCTTCACTAGATGGCACAGTCCAATAGAGTTCTTCACACTCAAGAATTCAAGATTATTGTACTGAAAGAACCAAAAACAGAAAGGGTACACATGTCAGCAACATGATGATATTTGGCAGCAAGTTTATTCATATATAGAAAAGTGATGAAAATGCCTTTGAACTTTCACACTCAAAAGCAAAAAGAATAGTCATCAACAAAGAATGGCAATTTCTTGGTTCTGCTTACTACAGACACCTCCATTTCCTTTGCAGGTATAAATACAAACATTTCAAATTTTCTTTCAACCAATAAAACCAAAAACATACACAACAGCAGCTAGACATTGAAAAAGTTTACAGCTTTTGGATCAAAAAATGGATTTTGCAATTAAATTGTCACAGGTCTTGTCACTGCAGACCATCAAGTGAAAATAGTGAAATGATGATAAACTGCAAAAGATTAAAAAAAAATGAAAAAGAAATAAAACCACCTTAATATAAATGCATACACACAAAATATAAAACAATGTTAGACCATTTTTCTAACATTGTTTCTCTCCTTCTGCATGAACATCAATTGTAAGATGGGGCAGGAAAAACTAGTGTAATTTTCAAGAAAGGAAAAGAAAAAACAGAAAAGGAGCGAGGAAAACAACACCCAGTTAGAGACAAAGAGAAAAAAATTTAGAAGCCAAAAACCCTCTAATATGTTTCTGTTGGAAACCCAATATATATCCATGAATCAGGAAAAAAGAAAAGAAAACATAGATTCATTAAATACTAGCTAGTAGTACAAACATGTGCACAAATGTGTGTATAGAACTGTTTTATTTAATTTACCAAATAAATTTGTTGGAATGCAGAGAAGAAAGAAGCAGTTGTCCCTAAAGCAAAGCCAAAATTTTGTACCAGAAAAACGAGAGAAGGGATGAATACATCCAACACAAATGAGACAAAGAAAGACTAATACGATAATGTACAAAGCGTGAGTAAATGTGAAACCATATATGACTGCTCAAGAAGAGAATAAAAACGCCTTGAAACACTCAAAAAAGCAAACAAAGTAATATTACTCCTACCCACTAGCCAGCAGTAAATCAAAATGAAACAAAAGAAATGAAGAATCAATCACCAATGAATGGAACCATGAAAGAGCAAGTCTTTGAAAAGATGTGTGTAGCTTGATTCCAAGAATATTAAAGCAGCAGAATAGAGAAGTGTAGTGGGCTTTAATAATGATGGGGACAAAGACTAGAAAGAGAGAAACAAGAGAGAGAGAGAGAGAGTGGAGGAGATTAAAAAGTGAAGAGTTCAAAGTTGAAAGTTGAAACAAACAAGTGAAACTCTTAAGAGAGATAATGATGAAGATGAGAGAATGAATCTTCCCTTTTATATATATAGAGAGAGTACGCATGCAAAGTGCATCTGCTGTTTTCTTTATCACGTGTTAAAGCCTTTAATTTGTTAGCTTCTTCCCCCTACTCTCAAACTTCAATGTCCCTTGCCATATAGCACCTCTTTTGCTTTTTTCACACCAAACACTATTTCTTTGCTGCTCTTTCTAACCACACTTTTTCTGCGTCCGGGATTCTGGCCGATGTAATTATTGAGTTTTAAATTAATAATTTTGTATATAAAATATATCTTTATATTAATATATTCTTTGTTATACTTTGAGTTTAAATATATCCTTATGATAATATTATTGGTTTAAATATACCCCACTTTTGTTAAGTTTGTCCAAGCTAAGGTGGACATCCAATCTTATACGTGGCATTGATATTTGATGAGGCGGATGTCACATGGCATGCCACCTCAGTGTCCCTCATCCATATATAAAAGACTAAAATTTGAAATACAATATTTTTCATGGTAGCGGTAATGGTGGTAATAGTGGCGGAGGGGAAGCAAATTTTAGTGGTGAAAAAAAATAGAAGGGAGGGGTAAAATGGGTTAGGGACACTGAGGTGGCAAGCCATGTGGCATCCACCCACGTAGGATTAGATATTCACTTTGGACAAACTTAACCGAAAAGAGGTATATTTGAACCAATAGTATAACGATAAGTGTATATATAGACTCAAAGTATAACGAGCGATACATTTAAACCTTTATGATGTATAGAGGTATATTTGGCCCTAATTACGTATGTTCAATGAATATCCTAAGACAAATACAGAATTTAGACCAAAATTATTACGTTTAAACAAATACAAAGTTCAGCAGAACCCGTAACTCGTACACTAGTAGCCTGTTTGCCAAGCTTCTTTTTGGCCAAAAGCACTTTTGGCCAAAAATTGAGGTGTTTGGCCAAGCTTTTAGAAGGAAAAAAAGTGCTTTTGAGGAGAAGCAGAAGCAGTTTTGGAGAAGCAGAAAAAATTAGCTTCTCTCCAAAAGCACTTTATTGAGAAGCACTTTTGAGAAAAATACACTTAGAAGCAGTTTTTTAAAGCTTGGCCAAACACTAATTGCTACCCAGAAGTGCTTTTCAAACTAATTAGCCAAACACAAACTGCTTCTCATCAAAAGTACTTTTGAAAAAAAACACTTCTCAAAATAAGCTGCTTTTTGCAGCTTGGCCAAACGGGCTATAACTCTGCCCCTTTCTCTCAATTCATTTATGTATTAGTGAACTTGACATATATTTTTATTCTATAAATTGACACATGATACAAGTAAAATATAAGTGACCCTCGCATTCAACATTTTGCGGTCTACTGATTAATAAAGTGGACAAAAATTATGGGAGACCAAATTTCAACTCCCAACATAAAGGATAGGTGAGTTCTTCCTCATTTGTTTAAATTTAAGTAGACGAAATTAATCAATACCTGTACTAATGCAAAATAGAATATTGGGACACATACAAACATAATTTGAACATGATCACGCTCAACTATGCCTTATAGAAAGGACTAAGCGATCGTTGTAAATATAATCCGGTTTACAAGTCCGGAGTCGAATCCCACAGAAAACTAATGCTTAGCTACAGTTGTTCACTATCACCAAGAACACAAGCTTGAACAATTCCTAACTTATAGATATTAAGATTCTTGTGTTTAACTAACTAACTAACAAATTAATATAATAAATTAACACTAAAGATACTACTGGTTGGAGAAAAGATTAAGGAGGTCTAGAGTTATGATTTCCCCAATTGTCGGAATCCTTCCCGCTATGTCTTCTATAATTTCTCCTAAGTATTCTCTACCGATCATGAGCGCTCTGCGTGTAGTAATTCTCTCCCGAGTAATTACGACAATTTAATAGACATACTCTCCCGAGTTACGCTAGCTGGCTTTAATTACAGCTCACTTAGATCGCACCCAAGGTTTCGTTATCCCTAATCCCACCTTTAAACCCTTGGTTATTGATTCCTCACATACGTCGGGAGTGATGTTGTTCGACAACTACCTAAATATGCACTCTCTCCCTAGTAATACATACTAAATAGGCACAGCTAATTGAGGGCCTTCAATCAACCACAAGAATAATATAGTTGAACAAATAGAGAAAATACTACGGCTCAATTATATAGAAACATAACAAGAATTTATCCTACAAAAGGTTCCATCAAAACCCTAGATAACAAATTAGCTATTCATAATAGTATGTAAAACTACAATACTAAAAGTCATAACCAACAATGAAAAATAGGAAGAGGAAGGAAAAACTCGTAGAAGAATTCCCCGCCTTGCTCCTATTGTGTCTCTGCCTCCTTAGGTCGAATCTGTGTCAAAAATATGTCCAACCTTCTCAAAATACCGTTTTTCCATGTATATATACCAAGTAGGGTTCTTCTAGACGAAAAAAAACACTTTTCCCGGATTTGACTAGTGCGGCCGCGCTCGTGACCGCGCTAGTGGCTGCGCATATTGCCTAGTATTCTGCCTGACGAGCGCGGCCGCGCACTTGACGTGCACTTTTTACCTTGTTCTGTTGGGAATTTGAAAAAACGTAAAACATGAAAGTTGTAGCCCTTTGAGTTAGCTTTCCAACCATATATTGTGGAGCCTAAGTGAGGTTCTGAGCAAAAAGTTATGTGCATTTTACTAGACAGTACGCAATATGCCTACTTGATTTTTCGTTTTTTCTAACTATCATCCGTTGACCCCCGAACATGATCCCGGCTTAATTCCTTGAGCTTTTACTCGGACTTCACAGCTCTATATCACTTGAATTCATTCCATAACATCTACATAGCTCAGAAACACTCCTACAAGGCATAAAACACACAGTTAGTGCAAAACACTAGCGATTAAAGCGCAAACTCAACTAAAATGCAGTTTTAGAGTGTAATAATCGACTAAAATACGCAATTATAGCCTATCATCAGAACATCACATCGCTACTACTAAAAAGAGTTAAAAAGAATAGGTGATTTCTCGATTGCAAAGATTTATCCATGTTTACGAGCCAGCTTTCATTTAATTAAGTATAAACTCATTATCCTCTCGACTCAGCCAAGTCATTTATGTTGCAAAATTTGATAGGCATGAGTTCTGATCTGAATTAAAGAAAATGTTGAAAGGCATTTGACCTAAAAGCTCATCCTTCAAATGAAAATACAATCTTAAGTCTTTTCCCAGCTCAGCATAGTCCAAATAAGTCCCCATTGATATAATGAAAGCAACGAAAACACAAAAGAAGAATAATTCGAACTTGTGCAGAAACTGCTCTCAAGATTCTTATTAAATTTCTGTGCACATGAGACAGATTGTTAGGTATATCTTAAGAGTTCTATGGTTTTGACCCAACAAAAAGATTGTTATTCATTTACTATGTTGGTGAGCATAATTTAAAAGATTAGTCTAGTCAAAATTTTACCATAATATAAAACATATATTGTACTTTGCTACTTAATCTTTATTCCCTCTCGGATGTAATGGTCTGGGACTCGTATGTAATGTCCAAAAATCTCTTGTGTACCTCAAGCAGTCAAGCTTCGGTAAGCTGTAACGGTCGGTTCAATCTTTTTCAGCTGTGGTGTGGGGTCCACCTTATTTGTTGTCTTTTCTGGCTCCACAACCTTATATGGACTTATCTACTTTTTGAATTTATTATGGGGATTATTAGCTTTTGCTTTGACTAAAATAGGCCTACAAACTGAATTAAACTCCACCATTTACTCATTATTATAATATAATACAAAAAGAGTTATACCAAATAACACTTTATGATACAAAATACAATTACTCTCGTGTAGAGACGTGATAATTCTGTTATTCTTGCCCTTAGTTTCTTATTATACTTCTGCTTTATTTTATGTATAAATATTTGATTGTAAATAAAGTTTAAAAAAGAACTTTTAAAATTTATAGTCGTTAATATTCTATGATATTGTTGTAGTTATAAAAGTATATTAATGCTCAAATTTAAACTATTTCAAATTTAAAATAGCATCATTCTTTTTTAACACATAAGAGTATGTGAACGACTCTTACATCCATAGTCACATTACAAACTAATCTCATAATGTTTATGTTAATTTATCCTTTTCTAGTCTTACTTTTCATGTAATTTAATTTAAGCCCCTAGTTAATTAAACACACACTAATCTTAAGACGATATAATATTGCTCATTTCGGGTAAAAGTTGCACATTTGTCTTCAAAAAGACTTGCATAATTTAAAAGTATTCTTACATATTATTTGTTATTTCTTCTTTTAACTAGTAATAATATGAAACCTTATTCGCACTTTCAATATAGCTAATTATTGTTATAACTTTGAATAGCAATTAATTAGAGTATGATCCACAATGGATCTAATAAGTGAGTTGATTGGGATGATGATGGCTAGTGGGAAAGGAAGTATGGGTCCTGAAGCAGCATAGCTGAAACTTGGACCTTAGTTGGTCTGTTGAATACATGATGGTTGCTATGGACTTTGAGAAAAAGTGGTGTATGAGTGGTAAGAAGAAGGGAGAATGAATCAAGTAAGTTAGTGTATATACATAAATCTTACACACATGATGGCATTAAGACTTGGGAACTACAATGGGTCCTATTGTATACAGGCAACAAGTGAGAAGGTAAATAATAGAGCATTATGGTGGCATGGATAAAAACTCTTTAATTTTAATGATAGATCTTGGATTCGAGTCGTAAGAATAAAAATATCATGATAATAAATATTTTTTTCCTTTTATGAGTCATATGTGATACGAATCGGAATAGTCAGATTACAATACAGATATCAAAAACTAAGTGAGAAAGAAAGAGATAAGATAAAATTAGGGGTGTACATAAGTGGGGTTGGTCCCGGCTTTTGACAAAATCAAACAAAACCAATTATATAACTTTGATTAGTTTGGTTTTGTCAGTTTTATCGTTTTTTTTTTTTTTTTTTTTTGCAATCTTACTTTATTGGAGTTATAGAAAAG